CAAGTTTCCCAAAACGAGTTGTGTGCCTAATTAGACTTAATACGAACCTATCGGAAGCCGATAATAATATCACTACTATCAGGCAGCAAAATTCTCTAGAACACATGCTATAATCAGGAACGTACATAAAAATATCTTAATGGGGGTTTATATTATAAACAATTTTTAAAAATCCATTTACCCCATACGTTTTAACGATTTTCATTGGAGAGTATAGGAAACCGACTTCGGGAAGACGTCCATAATGTTTGAATTCAATATATATGTATATCGTGTTCGTATGGAAAAGCAGCTTATGTCGAAAGGCTTTAGTATAAATCGGCATTCGCAGCACACGATTGCGAATGATTCGCTGGGGCTGAGCCGTTGCACAACTTTTGGCAAATAAACGTGCAAGAAATAGTTCCGATACTAGCAAGTTCAAATCGTATGAGTAACATTCTCATCTCGTCTGGGTAACTCATACGCCATGTAAATACGTACGTTCGAATTAACTTTGCGGTGATAAATGGTCGATCAAATATGGATCCACCATTTTGATTTTTTAAAATCGGATTGCAGATTTATAATCAGTAACCTTAAGAACCCCAATTGTAAAGTTTAAAGCGAATCCAATCGATTTTAATTTTTTTTGTCCACCATATTGGGTCCGCCAATTTGAACTTTTCCAATGTTACTTCTGACTCGTAATCAGCGACTTTGATACCACCTGAATAACGAATTCTAAGTGAATCCGATAAATTTAGAAAACAATCTTCCACCATATTCGATCCGCCATTGAATACGTTCCCACGACAGTCGGGTCTACGTAACCGGAATGACCCAGATTTAAACCTGACCAAGGACTGTCACTCCAGCATCACTCCCCATAACCTTTTTGGGGAGTTTGTATGCTGTTACAACAACAACAACATCCGCCATTGAATATCGAAATTCTGATGCTATATTCATGATCAGCGACCCTAAAAACATTAAAATCCGTCTTGACTTAATAACTGACAACTGGTTTAAAAAACTGAATGACAAAGTTATTTCCGCATTTACGGATATGACGTCTTCTAACGGTCGCAGCATTTACATAATACGGATTTTTAAATTTTGCCATGTTTTATTTGATGCATTATAAATTGACAAGCCTTTTGACATGCTTTGCGCTAATTTCTGATGCATAGAATTTTGAGCAGAGCTTTGGTCCGTTTGACATATGTACATATGTAGATCGTCCCATATATGTGTATACATCATTACCTTACATTCACAAAGGCCCTAACCAACATTTTTTTCGAAACTGCGTTTTTCACAGATTTTGGTAGTAGGATTAAAAGAGACCTTCACTAAAAATTTGAAAGTGTTAGTACCAGAGTTTAGAGCAATAATGTTAATGTAAAAAATCAATAAATTATTTTATGAAATTTAATGCAAATGAATATTTCAATGCTTTAATTCTGAAAAATGTAATGCTAATGAAATTTTTGTTTAATTAAATTATCCAAGCTAATGCTAATGAAAAAATTTGAATGCACTAAAATGTTTAAATGCTTTTGCTCGTTTGCATTATTAAAAACCATTATTTTTTTTTCTAGTAAAATATAAATAACCTCTTTTGGAAGGACTTGTTTTATGAAAATGAAAGCCAATGTGCATGCAACGCAGAGTGCTTTTGTAGATTTTTATGTTGATTGTTGATGCATACCGATTACATATATTAAGTATGAGCCAAAAACGGACAGATAGCCAGTTTAGCAGAGCATGTACACGACTGAGGACCTACTCTGACCTAAATCA